CGCCTCTATCTACCTTTCTGGGACCACGTGGTTTTCCTGAGAGGCTCTAAGTTGGTTTAAAAAGGCAACCTTGATGGAAAACAGCCTAAATATTTATCAACAGGGAACCAATTAAGTCATGGGGCATCTTTATCATGGAATATGCTGCAGTGTGAAAAGAATGAAATTTTTTATAAACTGATCATTCCTGAGGACGATCTCCAAGGTATATTGTTAAGAGACAAATGCCAAGTGCAGGATAGAAGTGATAGTACACCATCATTTGTATTACAAGGAAGAGAAAATATATGCCTAGGCATTTACATTTAATATAATTATTATGTTAGGGATTAAGTCTATCACTTTATTATTTGTTTTCTGTTTGTGCCTGCTGCTTCTCACTTCTCCATTTCCCTCTTCTTATCTTCCTGTGGGTCACTTGAATATTTTTAGGGATTCCATCTTGATTTACTTCTAGTGTTTTGGGTGCTCTTGTGTGTGTGTATGAAAGACTTATCCCAGTCTACTGATACTGTTTTATCAATTTGAGTGAAATGTAGAAACCTGACTCCCATTTGGGCCCCATTATCCTCCCCAATTTTAGATATAATTATCTTGAGTATCATATGATGTTACAATTTTTATACCATTCATCATATGCAATTTAGAAAATTCATGAGGAGGGTAATCTACTCTATTAACCCATATTTTTGCATTCTTCATTTTCCTTTCTCCCTTCTTTATGATCCAAGATTTCTTTCATCATTTTCTTTCTTTTGAAGAACATCCTTTAGCCATTCTTTAAGAGTAGATCTGTTAGTGATAAATTCTCTTAGTTTTTCTTTATCTGAGAATGTCTTTATTTCCCCCTTAATTCCTGAAGTATAGTATTACCAGGTACAGAATTCACAAGTTGATAGCTCTTTTCTTTTAGCACTTGAAAAATGTTGTGTCACTTCTCTCTGGCCTCTGTTGTTTCAGAAGAAAAATCTGCCGTCATTTGAACTGGTGTTCCTATATAAATCATGTGTTGTTTCTTTGTCTGCTTTTAAGATATTTTCTTTGTCTTTAGTTTTCAGAAGTTTAATTATGATGTGTCCTGGCATAAATTTCTTTAGATTAATCTTTATTATTCACTCAGCTTCTTGATCTGTAGGCTTATAGATTTTGCCAAGTTTGGAGAATTTTTAGTCATTATTTCTTTGAATACTCTTTCAATCCCACTCTCTTTCTCCTTTCCTTCTGGGACTTCAACGTTGTAAATGTTGGGTCTTTTGTTACAGGCATACAAGTTCCTAAGACCCTGTTGCTTATTTTCAGTTGATTTTCTCTGTGGGTAAATTCCACTGATCTGTCCTCAACTTTACTGTTTCTATCCTCAGCCATCTCCCTCTATTACAGAGTTCATTCAGTTAGTTATAGCATTTCTGTTATTTTTCAGTTCTGTAAGTTCCATTTGGTTCTCTTTTTATAACTTCTATTTCTGTGATGAAGTTTCTAGTTTTTTCGATTGTTTCAAGATATTTGTAATTGCTTGCTGAATCTTTTTGATTATGGTTACTTTAAAATACTACATAAATCTAACATCTGGTTCATATCAGTGTGGGAGTCAGGTGATTATCTTTTCTCATGCAAGTTGTAATTTTCTTGATTTTTTGTACAGTGAGTGATTTCATCTGGACATTTTAGCTGTTATGTTAGAAAACTCTGAGCCCTATTTATACTTTTTTTATTTTAACAGGGACTTTCTAGCTTACTTATGTGGACTGTGAATCCACTGACAATCTAATGTTCAGAGCCTCTATGTTGTTATTTTGGTCTGTTTGGTTTATCACCTGCCTCTGGGTCCCCCACTAGCCCTCATTGGTGCTAGTTCAGGAAATGAAAGGAGCTTCCCTGTCTTGATTGTCTGGCCCTTTAGGTAAGGAAAGGGAGTCTCCAAGGCTGTGAAAAGCACTTTCTGGGCTGCATGTTTGTTGAGGCAGAGTCCTCCTTGTTAATCTCTCCTGTCAAATAGGATCTCCTGTTGAGATAGGGGAGTCTCAGGCTGGTGGAAAAGTCCTCTGGCCAGTTTTGTAACAAGAACTTTCCAGTGGTCCCCTTTGCTGTTTCTGCTGGGCTTATCTAGAGTTGTTAGCAGGGCTTCTGTTCAATTCGTAGGAAGAATAAAATCACTTGGCTGCCTTCCAGTTGCTAGAGTGGGTATCAGGAAAGGCCAGGCCTGGATTATCTTCTCTTGGGTGGAGAGTCGTAAGATGCCCCACCACTATATTGTTCCCTTGGTCCTGTTGTCCCTAAACAATTACACCTTCCTTTTACCTTTCAGGGTTCTCTTTTAGTTGTCTCTTGTGTTATTTCCAAGGCTTTTTAGTCCTGCTTAGCAGGAAGGAAGAGAGAGAGACAAATCATACTGTCCTGTTCAGCCTAGAAGGTCTGAATAGATGCTTACATAGATACAAGATCTCTCTAGAAAGGTACATGAGGAATTGCTTTCCATGGAGAGAACACTTGGGGATCTGAAGTATGAGAGAGACATTTTTGTATACCTGTTTGTATGATTTTAAAAATAAATATAATATATAAAAGAAGGAAAAATGTCTTCTAACTCAAGAGCTTGTTTTCAAGAGCACAACCAAAGATTGCAGCAGAGGTCAAGCAGCGTATGGATTCAACAGTTGGTAATTTTATTAAATTTCATTGGCTTTTAATTTCACTATAATTTGACTGCTTTGATCCAGATCCTTGGATGTAAGAATAATATTCTCAGTAGATTTTCATCCTGCTCATTCACTTGAAATAACTTGCAGAATACAAATGTGTAATTGAAATAGAAGTGGATGTGTTTGGCAGCATACTAGTACCCTAATCAGCCGAAAAAATAATATTTGTATGACATTAAAACAAAATTAATAGGAAGATGCTGATTATGTGAAAAGACTTCAGTTTGTAATTATTAAACTTGCAAACAGCTAGGCATAATTAGTGCCTTAATTAGGATATGACCTGAAATTTTAACTTACAAAATTAATAAAGACAATTTAAAGTCATATTTGTAAAGTGGGTTATAAAACTTACAAGGTAGTTGGATATCACTATTTTCTCATTTCAGAGAGCATCTTTGTAGGTACTAAGCTTAAAATACAATTATTTTGATTCCCAACTCCCACCCCCAGCACAATGTCAGAGTCCCCACCCCCAGCACAATGTCAGAGTCCCAAAGCTTTAAGAGTCAAGTTTAGTGACCCTTAACCAAGGACACACAGGGCCCAGCAGCTCCTGAGCACACTCCTGGACAGCTGTAGAACACGGCAAAACAGCAAAGACTCTTTCTCTCCCTAGTACCTTAAGTGAAATGTAAACTAGAAGATTGATATTGACTTTGAACAAACTATGATTTTGACCAAACTGTATGGATTCAAATGGCAATTTGGTCTTTAACACATGCTTCTTGAAGGCATTTGGGGTCCTACGGTTTACCACATGGTGAAGGTTCCAATCCAAAGCCAAAGAATTTTTCCATAAGTACATAAAAATAGAGAATTCAGTAAATTTTGGTGAGGTGGTGATTTAGGGAAAAAATAAATACAAAATCCTACCTTTATTCCTTATGTCAAAATTAACTCCAAATTGATCAAAGACTTAATGTAGAAAAGTAAAACCATAAATGTATTAAAATAAATAGGCTAATATTTTATAATATTGTAATCAAGAGAGGCTTTTTAACCATGACAGATAAAACAAAAATTCATAAAGTAAATAACTAGCAAATTTACCTACTTAAAAATTCTAAACTTACGTATATCAAAAACCAAAAACAAAAATAACTATAAGTTGTAAAATAACAAGGCTGTATAAGAAGTAACTGATTAAAAATAAACTTTGACTTATGTTTTGATTCATTTTTCCTCCTAAAGACACAACTTTATTCCTTAACAAATAAGGAAATAGTTGAAAATATACATCATAATTTATGTACAGGATAATTAACTATAGGGAAAATTAAAAGAGTGTACATATTGCCCTGACCAGTGTGGCTCAGTGAGATGGTGATGTCCCTCAGACTGAAAGGTTGCCAGTTCCATTCCTGGTCAGGGCACATGCCTGAGTCGCAAGTTCCATCCCTGGTTAGGGCATGTACAAAAGGCAACAGATCAATGTTTCTCTCCCTCTCTTTCTCCTGCCTTTGCCCTCTCTCTAAAATAAATAAATAAATAAAATCTTTTCTTCAAAGAAGAATGCACATGTTTAAAAAAAGCTTATGAAGTAATTAAATTAGAGGATAGCCATAGCACTAAAAATCTGAATATTTAATGACAGTGAGATAGTTTCATATAGGACCTTGTTAAAGTGAAAGATAAGGAATACAGATGAATCTAATTTGATTTTTAAATGTCTTAACATAAAAAAAGACTAGAAAAATATTAATAATTATCATTAGAGGTAGAATTATGGGTAAATGTTATTTTTATTTTTAGTAGTTTCCAAATTTTCTATAATAAGTAAATTATTTTTGTACTCAATCTTTTTTTTTTAATCTCTTGGAGCTTTAAAGAAAAAGATATTTCAATTTTTCCCCAAAACAGCTAACTTGGAACTAGGTCAGGTATGAAAGATCAAAGCTGAAGATTTAAAAGTATAGCATATAATACAGCAATTGCAACAAGCTACCCATTTTTTTATTGCTCTACTAGATTTGTTGTCACTGTGTCACATGGGTTAAATGACAACTCCTAGTAATTCACGGTGAGATAGCCCTGTCCTCCCTCTTTCCTTTCTCTCTTTCTCCACCTCTCTCACCATAGGCTTAGAGTGTAGGCCCATCATGAGACAGTTTTCATAAAATCAGTATCTGCCTCTCTATTCCCAACTGCCTGTATTTGTAAAACAGGGAACATGAGTTTCAAAACTGAGATTACTTGGTCTTAGCAGGAAGCAAATGTCTTTAGTCAGAGGCACTTGCCAATTACAAGGTAACTATCACTACTAGTACAGGAAATGTCATTACTGAATTTCCTTTGTACCTGTAGGTTTTCTTAATTTCTTCATTTGATGCCCCCTTATGCAGACCAAGAACTTCATATAGAGCTTCTCCAGAGGTTGACATAGTCCGCTGTCTTTGGGTAGGGGTGTCACATGCCATTTTCTCAGCTGTAAAACCAAAGAGGGTAGATAGTCATGAAGCTTATGTATACTGGACCCCACTCTCTAAATGGGAAGATAGTTCCTTTCTAACCTTTTGTAAAATGACAACCTGAAGTATGTTTTTGTGCCAGCTGCAGAATGTGGGAAGGAATGGGTCAGGATTGCCAAAAGTAGAACTTCAAGTAAGTGCTAAAGGCTATTGGCAGCCATGCAAAGGGAATATGGCCTTGCCCACATGGTTAAATAGAAGCAAAATGTTTTCTAAACACTCAGCTAATTCAGAATTGTTGAGAAACTGTACTCACACATCAGCCACATGTGGATTTCTTTTTGCTTGAATTTGTATAACTCCTTTTTTGTACACTTCCCCCAAATCATCCATTTTACCTTGACTCTATTGGCCTAGCCATTGTTAGAGGAAGAGTTTAAAAAACTAAAAACAAAATCAACTTTTTGTAAGTATGAAGAAAAGAAATCCTGGTCTTATCTGGGAGCCAGTCTAGAGCTTCTCTGCAGCTATGTGATGCCAGGGCCCCACAGCGGTCATGGGTTCTGTCCCTGAAATGACTCCTTTCCCTGTGGTCTATCCAGAAAGGGTTCTGCTGTTCCAAATCTAAGGAGCCGTCCTCCTGCTATGATGTGCCTCTAAGAGGGGGCACGCAGAGTAGCAAGCACACCTACAGGCCTTCCTGCATCCGGTATTTAACCTCTCCAGCCTTAATGTCTTCAGCTATAATACAAGGATAAAAAAGCCCACACCATAAAGATATCTTAAGGATTTAGAAATAATGCATATAATGTACCTAGAACAGAGTAAGTTCAAAGGAAAAGGTAAAACTATTTTTTATCAAAGGTGGTACAGTGCTGTACAAGCAGTACACTGTAGTCAGACCTTCTAGGTTGGAATATAGACCTGACCATGACTCAGCTGCAGGACCTTCCCTATCTGTAACTTGGAGACAAAAATGTGCCTAAATACATGGGCCTGTGGTAAGAATTAAATGAGTTGATATATTAAACAAAAATTGACACCATTATTCATAGCAGAATTATTCATAAAAGCCAAAAGGTGAAAACAACCCAAATGTTCATAAGCAGGTCAATGAAAATGTGCTATATACATACAATGGGATATTTCTCTTTCTTTTTTTTAAGATTTTTTTTAAAATTTATTTTTAGAGAGGAAAGGAAGGAGAGAAGGAGAGAAATATCAATGTATGGTTGCCTCTGGTGAGTCCCCTGCTGGGAACTGGCCTGCAACCCAGGCATGTACCCTGACTGGGAATTGAACCACGATCGTGTAGTTCCCAGGCCCGCGCTCAATCCACTGAGCTACACCAGCTAGGACTACAATGGGATATTTTTCATGCATAAATTGGAATTCTGACACATGGAACAATATGCATAAACCTTGAAAACATTATGCTAAGTGAAATAAGCCAGTCACAAAGAACAAATATTGTAGGATTCCTTTTGAATGAGGTACTTTTTAAAATCAATTTGTGCTTTTCATTATAATTTTATTGCATACATATGTATATACACATAACAATTTTTTGTTTTTTCTTTTTTTAATGATTTTATTGTACTTTTCCATTACCTTTAGTACTCTTATACTCCCCATACACACTGTTGTATGTGTCCTTAAGTCCTTTTTTCTTGTTGTATGAGGTAATTTGAATAGGCAAATTCATAGAGAAAGAAAGTAAACTAGAGGTGACCAGGGGCTGACAGGGAGAAGGGAATAAAGGGTTGTTGCTAAATGGGTACAGAGTTTCTTTTTGGGGGTAATGAAAAAATTCTGGAACTGTATAGTGGTAAAGGTTACATATCACAGTGATTGTATTTAATGCCATGAATTGTACACTTAAAAATAGTTAAATGGTAAATTTTATGTTATATTTTACCATAAAAGCAAAACAAGAAAAAGAACTAAAAACTACTTAGATTGCCCACTCCTCTGACCACAGAGTCCTTGAAAATCATCATTCATTTCTCGGCTTTGGACCTTGTGCAGCAAGTGCTGTGAGTGACTGACTGTGAATGAATGATTGTAGAAGGACCAGAATATGGTGTTAGGGATGTGGAGATATTTATGCTCAATGTAAGCAATCTATAGAGACAGCAGTGGCGGCAGCAGAACCCAATGGGTATGTCCCAGTGTCAGGTGGGCTCAGCTGGAGCCAGCTTCCTAGCTCTGCTCCCAGCAGGCTAATGACCAAACCAACACAGGCAAGAGAAGAGCCTGCCAAATGTTGCCTGCTGGATGAGGATGGTTTCAGAGGCCCCCTGAGACCCCTACATTGAACAGCCAGGGCTCATAATCCTACAGAATTCAATTAAAAGGAACAATGTGAAAAACTTCAAAAATGGTTTTGTGAGCTTTTAGCTTCTAAAAATCAGATCCCAGCCAAAAATCCTAGAGCAATAAAGGTTCTGAGGACAACACTGATCTACCTGAGGGCGCAACTGTAGCATCGCTCATTGTTCCCAACTCAACTAGCTTCTCACCAATGTGGAGGCCCCCAGATCCCTGGTTCATATAAGGACAAGAGGAGGGGAAAATCCCAATTGTGCCTGCCACAAAGCAGTATCTAACAGATGTTCATACTGACTGGAAGCCCTCCAGCAAATTGTAGTACTTTTTTTTATTGCTGCTCTGTCTTTCTAACTCACCCATCATACTTTCCCTAGGAAGTAAGCAGTTCAAGACTTGGGGCTGTGTCATTCATCTCTGTGTTCTGCTCCTGCAGTTCAGCCCTGTCTTAGAACCATAGCCCAGCTGGCTATTCACAACTGAAGGAAAAATTACCTGAGCAACTGACAGCCTCCCTACCTCCTTCCCTGTCTTCTCTTTTCCTGCTGCTACCACAAACAGCTAGGCTCAGGGTACAGATGCTCTGCTGCCCACATCCACCTGATACTTCCCAGTAATAGAGGCAACCAGAGACTTCTGACAAGTCACACTCTATGTCAAAAATGAATGTGATTTATACCCTGGCTGGTGTGGCTCAGTGGATTGAGTGCCGACCTGCAAACCGAAAGGTGGCTGGTTCCATTCCTGGTCAGAGCACATGCCTGGGTTGTGGACCAGGTCCCCAGTTAGGGGCATGCAAGACGCAATGATTTGAGGTATCTCTTGCACTCTTGCTTTCTTTCTCCCTTCTCCTCTCCTCTCTCTAAAAGTAAATAAATAAAATCTTTCAAAAAAACATGAATGGGATTTGGAAAGTAGGGATTTCTGTGTGGCTTGGTAGACAAGGAATGGGGCCACAGTCATTATGTTTGTCCCTCTGAACGTTTAAGTTCTTGCTAGATATAGCAAGATTCCCAAAGTCACTAAGAACGTATCGACATAGGGATTCAAATGCTAGGACTGTAAAAAATAGAGGCCATCTAAGTCAATTTAACGAATGCCATTTGGGGCATTCTGGTTAGAGATTATTATAGAAAACAACTTTGATATTACCCTCTTAGCTCCTCCTGTCTGGGAAATTCCTAGGTCCCCACTGAAACAGATGTTTTTCCTGAGATCTGCCTCAGTCTTACCTGATCTTGATTGAGTAGATCTGATGCAACAGATCGGAGTCCTCCCTTAGGTTTTTTGTTTGTTGAGTATAGGACAGTCCCACAGATGGTAAATCCTCTAAAATGTAAATTTTGGGTATTGTTGGCTTTCCTGAAGTGAGAGAGACTGAAACTGACTCACAGAAGAGGACAGGTGGGGAGAGATGGAGAGAGAGCCCCAGGAGTTGAGTCCCCTGGTTCCAGCTGTTTCTAAGTGCACTTGCAAGTCTTCCCCTCCTACAGTTTGTAAATCAACCCTTGCTTGGAGTGAGCAATAAAATTCCTCCTCATACACAAATGTACACACAGTTTTTCTTAGCATACTTTAGCTAGATTTTGGTCACTGTCAACCAAGACTCCTTAGTGTCATATGCTCTCTCAATTAGACACCAGTAGTGGTTCACTGAATACTCCCAAGCCAGGCTAATCCATTGTGCATTTATCTTAGATCACTCTGTGTACTCCTCTTTTAAATTAAATGTGGCTTCTAGGTACTTGGGAATGAATACTTTGGGGAAATAACAATGATATACTAAGATATTCAAACCAAACAAATTCAGATGTATTGTGTAGACATTAGTAGCATGGCTAGAAGGAGCAGTGATAAATCTGGGTCAAGATGCTGTCATGAAGAAAGTATATAGACAGCTATCCAAGAGCACTTAGAAGAAATAAAAGTATGGCAGATAGACCTTTGCATTATCTATTTTTCTCTATATTCAGCATTGAAAAGGAAGTTTCAATTTGAGGGGAAAAATTATTTACTCTTCATCATCTGTATTATGAAGTAAAACAGTTGTCAGGGTTCCCATAAATCAACAAATAGTCCTAAAATCAATTTTTACAAGGCACAGACATGCACAATTCCCACTTTGAGACCATTGTACTCCAAAGCCAGCTTTGATTCCTTCTTACTTGGGTCTTGCTGTCACTAATACAGGAAAAAGATTTACAGGTTACTGAAGATAGTCTGCTGAACAGATTATGATAATATCCACAGCAAACAATTCAGTTACTTATTCAAAGTCTGCAGTGATTTCGGGCCAGATCTTTAAGGGAGATTGCAAATATGGGATACAAAACTAAAAGCTAATAATAAAATCAGTGTTCAGGGGTAAATAATTATTGAATATAGAGGTCAAACAGCACAAGGAGGAATCTTCTGGAGGGCAAGGATTTAGCTTTGTGCCCAAAAAGTCCCAGCATTGTGCTTGGCACATATTAACTTTGTGATAAATGTCTGTGGGGTAACTAAATTAAAAAGTGGTTAACTTAAATGGGAATGTCAGGGAGAACTTTAAGAAAAGATGAAACCTGAGCTGATAATAATACTACCACTTGTTTCTGTAAAATTTGACACGTCCTTCTATCATGGCCTCTGTGTCTAAGCCTGACCTTGGATCTTCATGGATGTGGTGGCCAGTGAGTTTC